TCTCGAGATTTACCACATTAACGATACTGGGTACTAGAACTATTGGGTACATTTAAAATGAGGACCTAACCCTAACCTACCCCAACCCGGCAACCAGCTGTCAGGGTTGCCATAACTGAAATTGTCTTTTAATTACTATTTTAAAAAACAAACACAAAACAACTCAAAACAAAACCATTCCTAATAGTTTATTATTATTATTGATTGAGAATAAGTTGTAACCTGTTTTGAAACAAATGGACGGAAAAAAACTAAAAGTGGAAATGGGCAGCATTGGTACACTTGATAGCTCGAAATATTCAAAAGTGAATTCGGTAACGGTGTACGACTTGTACTTGAGCCTAAAGCTTTGCACCACACAGTTCACCAGTTCGCCAGCCAATTAATTAACAAACCAACCAATCAATCATGGTAAGTTTTCCTATATATTTCCTATATATTACTACGTGTATTCAACACACATTTTTTCATGTGACTTTGCGATCAAAATTTCAACTTCTTCTGATAAAGAAGACACATAAAATTTAGGATTATGTGGTACCGAGTAGGGCGCGACAAATCAGGCCTACATGCGATTCTTGTTTGCCAAATTTCAATGTATCCGATCATTGGCATTGGCTTCAAAAAATAGGCAGTGGGATATGCTATTTTCTCTGTAGATAGACTCCGGATCGCACGCGTCTCCCCCAGCAGAGCTGTGTCCAAGTCCGATTGAGTTGGTCCGGAATGGCCTATACGATTGGCCCTAGAACAGAAAAGGGTCATTTGACGTCTAGGGTGTTATTTTGGCATCGAAATTATCTTCAAATCTCGTCAAAATGTACAGATGACTTCCAAATGACTCCCATGATGTCAGTTGACATGAATTTGACATTTTTATGTTCATTGGCTGAAAGTTTCAATAACCGACTCACTTTCAAATGAAATGATCGAGTTTTCCATGCTATAGGGTTAAATATTAAGGATTTTTCCCAGATTTTAAAATTTATTGCTCTTGTGCTATTTCTTTATCGACCTTTATTTGACGGTAGGAGCACCAGCCTCTGCCGTGCGTGGCGGGTTGCCTGCGCTCACTATCCTGAGGGGCCATTACTCACATGAACTTTGAGAAGTATGTATCTTTTGCAGGATTTGAGGGCGAGAATCGCAGAAATAGTGCCAATAGAGGCAGAACTTGATGATCTCGATCTTGACTTGCTGCTTGATCATCTGCTTTCGAAAAAAATAGCTGTGAAGAAAATTTCTGATTTAGCTGACATCAAAGCATTCATGCTTCCTTCAGATATAGGAGCCGTCCCAGCAGTAAAAATACTTAAAGCTTTCAAGATTGCAGGAGAAGGTAATGGGGGCAGGCGAACACAATGAAGTTTTTTAATGTTGTAATGCATGATGAAAATGAAAAATGAATATGCTCCCTTTACTGACAACAGTACTTTTTGATCTCTGCACTTTTTGTGTTTTGTCATGACAAAACACAAAAAGTGCAGAGATCAAAAAGTACTGTTGTGTCTGAGAATAATATTAGATTTGTTCTGTAGAAGCCCGGTCTAGAAGTAGAAGCAGAAGCAGAAGTAGAAGCCGAACCAGAAGTAGAAGCCGAACCAGAAGTAGAAGCCGAACCAGAAGTAGAAGCCGAACCAGAAGCAGAAGCCCTATTGCTAATGACAAGCAGAATACCCAAACAAGGGAAGCTGGTGCTAATGACAAGCAGAATACCCAAACAAGGGAAGCTCGAGCTGGTAGCAGTAGCAGTAATCGTCGTCGTGAAATATTATTTAGAGATGGTGTGAACAAAATTTTGCCAAAATATCCATGAAGTGTATTTCTAATTACAAAGAAATCCTGGTAAAAAATTATTAATTGCATTTCATTATTTTACAGATGAGTTTAAATTTGATATCAATTGGAAAGACATGCCAAGACATATTGTTCAGGCCTTGACAAAGGCTAAACAAGAAAAAAGAGAGGCAAATGACTCTGACATTATTGCGCTAAGGGCGGCTCTTGCTCAAAAAATACTAGCAGCTTATGATGATTACAAAAAGGCCAATCCTCATGTTGAACATCACAAAAATCCTGGAGTTAGACTTGCTGAGCATGTTGCAAACCAGGTGATGATTAGAACCCAAAACTTAGCTTAAGTTTGGATGCTACATTATAACATTATTTATTTAAGAAAAATTCATTTAAGTACAATTTTTAAAAGTAAAAGTGTGATAACTTAATCATAGCAATGTTGATAATTTGTAGGCTAATTTTTGACAGTCTTTATTGACTACTAAAAATCTGTCATTTTGATTTTCTTATTCATTGTTTCTGTTTTATGATAAACTAGGTTGTAGACAAGTTTGAAGATGCCATGAAAGAGGAATTAAATGGTGAAGTATATGGAGATGGAGTACTAACATTCACCAAACGATTAAATGAGAAACTAGGGAATGATACTCGTACGCCTGAAGATGATGATGGACGAAGGAATACCATCAGCACAGGAGTAGGGGTGCTAGGTGTTCTGAAGGATGAGTATGCTCCACCCCTCTCAAGAAAAGAAAGAAGTAGACAAACAGTTATTCAAGCCTCACTCTGCAAAATTTATTCAGAAATGGATCCAGATGATTGGGACTGGGTAGAAATCAAGACAAAAATGTTAGAAACATATGAGCTGCAGAGAGATGACATAGTTGATTGTACAAAAAAAGTTATGCAAGAAGCCCAAGACGAAGATGACAGTGAAGAAGATGGTGAAAAAGCTATGACACTTTTAAAGAGAGAATGGCCATTTTTGTTTTACGGCATGACAATGAACGCACATCACAATAGGCTTACAGGAATTGATCTCCAGAAGCGCCTTGATGCCTACATAGCGAAGGATCACCTTCAGTATCTCATACTTTTTCTCTGCTCCTGTTCTCCAAGAAATGCAGAAAATCTGGTGTTAAAACTAAAAGTTGAAGAAAACCTTCCATCTACTTCTTCCATGCTCCTTGGAACAAAATTTTTGTTAGCAGTTTGTATGATTGCAAACCATTTTCAGGAAAACTATGTCAACACAATTTTGTTGAAAGCAGAGGTAAGCTTGTATTAAAACAACTGTCAAACTTTTAAGAATCTGTGCTGAAAATATTTACATGCTTTATTGTTATATTTTTACAGGAAACACTCAGACCTGAAGAGTTGGAGACAGTTACAGATCTTCCAAGCAGTATATGTATTATTGCTCTTGGTAAGAGACATTCCAGTTATTCCAATGGTATGCACTTTCTTCTTTACTGATCCAAAAATTAAATTACCAGGTGACAACCCCTTCATGGCTAAAAAATATTTTATCAGTGTTGATAAGGTCTGCGTCGCAGAAAAAAACAATTCAATGGATGCTATACTGATGCTAGTTCAAATTTGCTTCCTTCTTAACATTCATTACCCCCCTGGTCTCTCACTGACATTTGAGTTCATAGAAAGGTGGGTCACCTATTGAAAATTTATTTGTGCAAATCATTTAGACTAGCGTAGACACACATTTGACTTCCATATTTCAGATTAATTTTGCAAATGGCACCAGGTAGAGAATCAAGAGTGAAAAACAAGAAGGGCAAGGTTCTCTTGGTCCTAACCAGTGCTGTAAGGAAAGCTGGCAAAGATCTGCAAGAGTTTACCACCAAAATCAAAGATGGACTTCAAAAAGCAGGTAAAGAAGCAAGGTTTACCCTTTGGCAAACTCTGAGAATGCACTTTTAGACACTCATGAAAAACTAAACAACCATGTTACAGGTTTCTAAATTGGCACTCCTCTTCGCAAGATCCGTTTTCTTCTCTATCTATTATCTAATTTGTTTATTTCATTGACATGACAAGTCAAAAGATGAGATCAAGTGGTTAAGACCAAAGAACTTAATATAAATTTACATATATTTTAGAGTGATCTCTTAAAACTAAATGATATCATAATAACTAATTTCCAAGAAAATGAACTTTTATAGATATGATTTAAGTTACTTGTCTGTGGACACAGTTATATATTTTGAAGTGATCC